AATTTATTTTTGGTTTAATATTATCAATTTTATAAAGATAATAATCAAGTATTCTGTTAAAATTCAATGATTATCCTAATTATATTTTAGATTTTTTATATTTAAAATCAGATGTTTATCTGCAGTTAGTTACACGAATTCAGATATGAAGCTTTAATAAGTTGTACTTACGCACAATCTACTTGCAATCTTGAGTTTTAAGTAATATGCATTAATAAACAGTACTTTATGCATAAAAAGTTGTTTTTAAGAGTTTTTGTCAAATGCTTTATAATGTAGTATAAATTAGAAGTGTACTTACGCAATGCAGCGACACACATCTTGATTTTAATGTTCTATTTTATTATTTGTCTATGTCAATGTTATAATATGATTTTATGTGTTTTTAAGAAAACAATAATAATTTTATTTTTTGAATAAAATATAAATTTGAAGATATCATAAAAATTTGAAAAAATATATATATCTATGTTAATATCAAATCAACTATTTAAAAGTTCTCATTTTTATAAAATTTCTTTAACTTATTTTTTTCATTATAATTTAACTTAAGTTTAATAACGAAATAATTTATTTTTGGTTCAATAAAAAACTATTACATTTTATTTTCTTAAATTAAAATCATTAAACTTTTTCATTTTGATTCATTAAATTTCTGAACATTTTTAATAGGCAAATCATCGTACTTTTAAAAATTGGTTACCTATATCAGTTTAATGTACAATTTTACATTAACCGACTAGTAAAAGTTCGATGATTTATTTATTTATTTAAAAATATTAAGAGTCTTAACTATTCAAAATGTAAAAGCTTAATGGTTTTTTCATTTCAAAAAATAGTTCACGGACTTAATCATTCAAAATGAGAAATTTAATGGTTTTTTTATTCAAAAAGTAATTTATAAACTTAATCATTCAAATTGAGAAAGTTTGTCGGTTTTTTAGACTTTTGACAGGAAGGGATCGTTCGTGTTCACCTAGTGAGCAGAATGTTCCCACAGTGGCGGTGCAAGTGCACGCCGACATTATGATCGCTTGCAAGTAATAAAGTGGTACAAAGTACCGAAATCGTTCCCACATAGAAGGTACTGAGATTTAGAGATTTTTCATGAAATTCTTGCACGAATTTCAAGATGTAAAATAAAGGTTTGGATTTTTGTTTATGAAAAAAGACCAAAATAGGACCGACTAGCTAATTAACGAAATAAACTTCTAATATTAAAAGATGGGCATGGGTGCAAGTGTTGCTTAAGATAAAATTAACAATAAAATGGTTAAACTGTTACGAGTTGTTTATAAAAGCTCCAATCTCTCGAAAGTGAACTTTTATAACCGGACCTCATAAAATTCTGTAAGGTTTTTACGTTTACCACTTCGACACTTGCCGATCTAGCTAAAAAGTAAAAGGAATGCGATTCTTACCCAAATCTCTTTATGATAAAAATACATATTGCTTAAACCCTAGCTAGATGCATACAAATTTCGCGTCTCCACATAATTATTCAAAGACCCTCTCGAGTTCATTGTGCATCACTTAAGCCGTATTTCGAATCCGCCCATCTTTGAGTCTAAGATCTAATATTAACACTTCAAAATGGTCAGCTTATCCGCATTTTAAGCATCGTCTTAAGTGACCAAGTTACGAAATGATAAAAGATAAAAACACTCAAATATTATATAAACATCCTAAGTTAAACTCACACCCACACTCATACGAGTAATTTAGCTAGACATAATAATTAAAGACATAAAATAATACTGAAATATAAATTGCATTAGTGTAAAACTAAATTACAAGTACAATGAAATAAAATACTAGAAATTAAAGACATAATTTAAATACATAAATTAAAGACATTAATTAAAAAGCATAATAATAAAATGAAAGAAAAGAAAGAGAGAAAAGAGACACACTAGAGAATATTGTGTCTTAGATGGTTTTGGGAACACCTCAAAATGGCTCCCCAAGTCCTCTTTATATAGAGGAGAGGAAGGGGGAAAAGGACACCCAATTATTACCTTAAGGTAATTAGTACAAACCTAAAAAATACAAATAAAAATAAAACAGAAGAAGGAAGACAGCTCATAAACAACTGGAGAAAATATCTGGATGAATCTTCAAGCTGCACGTTTCCCAAGAAGCTATAACAAGGCTGGTAGACTTCCCACAGTGGTGCCACAGTAGGCAGTGCTGTCAGAAAAATACAGGTTTTTGGAATAATACCTCTTCCTTTATGTTTCGTCATCTTTTTAAAACTTTTTGGAATAAAAGAGTAAAAACAAAAAAACTGGGTATTTAATAATAGCAAAGAGGTAGGAAATAAATAGGAAATAACTCTTAAAAATAAGAGTTATCAACTTTTCCCTTATTATTTTCATCCAACATTTTTTAATATTTATTGGAGTAAATTACAAATTTATATAAATTATGGGTCCTTCAAATAAAATAATTACATATATGGTCATTTAGGTTTCATCTTTTGTAGATTGAGTTTCTTTGGATCTAAAAAATTTCAAAGTGGTTGCACCAATTAACTATCATAATGTGAAATAAAAATTAATAAAAAAATATGGTTTTATTAAACAATAAACTAGTTACTAACGAAAATTAATAAATTATTCCCACCTTTAAGAACTTTTTATGTTTTTCGTTATAAAATTTTACGTATATCCTTAAACTTTTAGTAGTTATGGTTGCACGTAACTAAATATATGGTTTCACCATTATCAAACTTAAAAAAGATTTAACACCAACGACTGCAAACAACTAAGGATAACGACTAAACCGCAAACCATGTGATAGAACAACGACAATACGGGGAAAGATAGAGAGAGAGAGAGAGAGAGAGAGAGAATGGCCGGAAACTCAATAACAATGGCCGGATCTTCATCGGAAATGTACCAAAGGCCATCGCCAGCTGCTCTAGCCGACATAGTACCTGCTCTCACAAATCCAAACTTTGTTGTTGCTCTAGCGACGGCTTTTTCATCCATCCTTGGTGGCGGCGAAAGCAGCAAAGTCAGATCTGACCCCATCAGTAGAGCAAACCATACCATAAACGACACTGAACCCATGGCAAAGAAAGGCGAGGAGAAAGTGGAGAAACAAGTTAAGGTAGCTCGGAGGTCGGAGGTGCGGCATCTGGAGGAACCGACTGAGGCTGTGTTACCGGAGCCGAAGGTGAGGGAGGCGGAGCTGAGGCGGCGGAAAAAGGATAAGCAAACAGGGTTTAAGAAATCGTTTTCTGTTCAGAACATTAATCATGATGATGCAATAATTGAGACCAGGTCTGTCGAGGAAGCGATCGATATTGAGAAAAGGCTCAATGTCTCGTTCAAAACCCTCAAAGAAGCTAAGTTTCCTCAGATGAAAACAGCAAAACCTTCAACAACATTGGAGAAGGAAGCAGTGGGTAATAATGATGGTTGGCAAAAGGTGGAAAGAAAAGGTAAAGACAAAGGTAAAGTGTCCAATTTCTCTTTCACTAGATTCCCAGAAAATTGGGATGAAATTGCTTTGGAAAACATGTTCAAAAAGTATGGTCGAATTTCATCCCTTTATTTAGCTAGAAAATGCACGAGTAAGGGAACCAGGTTTGGTTTCGTTAAATTCTTTGATGTTGGTGATGAGATTGCTTTAGAAAGAAGGCTCAAAAGCATTATTATAGGCACAAAGAAGCTGATTATCAATCTAGAAAAGTACGACAATGGAAAAAAGAGAATTATTACAAAGGAAACGACGCACCAATAGAATAATATGGTCAACAGAAATAAGGCATGGATCCCGTCTAATCGTCATGCTGAAAACATCAAGCTAGGTTGTGTGGATGGTAGATCGTTTAAGCAGGCTGTTCTTGGTGAAAATTTGCAAAAAGGCGAAGATAAGGTCATCAAAGGAGAAATCAACATGGATTATGTGGAAAGGCTGCGTAAGAGTTGGATGGGAAGGGTCAAAAGTATTGAATTGCTTAGGAATTTAAAGGAAATTCTTAAAGAAGATGGAATGGGTGCTTGCAAATTGCAATATGTGAGAGGTTTGTTTGTTCTTTGTGAGTGGAGCTCAAAAGAGGTGGCCGAGAAGTGTTTAGCTGAAAACAAAGATATGCTAAAGCACTAGTTCCAGAATATTAAAATGTGGAATGAAAATGTTCTCTGTCCGGAGAGGTTGACTTGGATTGACATTCAAGGTGTGCCTGTAGAAGCCTGGTGTGACGTTAACTTTAAAAAATTG